CGCCGCGGGTCTGGGGAGGGAGCAGAGAAGATCGAGAGCGGCGCGGGAGAGGCGGGAGGAGGGTGCAGTTGGGAGAGGGAGCGGACGACGGGGGGGCGGGAGGGACGAGGGAGGTGGAAGCTTCAGAGCCCTGGTTCGCACAGTCCTGGCTTGAGGGGCACCGATCCTCCTGCCCGCGGGCTACCTCTCCGCGGAGCACGCTGGCGGAGAGCCCCCGGCCTTCCTGCTCGCGTCGCGGCACTTCGGCCGGCCCTGGCTGCACCGCCTCTGCGGCCGGCTGGACGGCCTCCTGGCGCGGGCGGCGGGGGGGCCCGTGCTGTTCGCGTGGATCGAGTGGCTCCGCACGGAGTGCAGGCCCGCCCTGGCCGAGGCGGAGGCGGAGGTTCGAGGGCGGGCCCAGCTCATTGCAGCTACCCTCGGCCCCTTCCTGCTCCTTCTCTCCTGAGACTTGAGGGTGTGCTGCTGCTCTCGTCCTCTCCTCGTCCAGGGGCCGAGGTTCCCCGGGGCCGCCGTCGCAGCGCTGCGCTCGGCCCGCGCGGGCCGTGCCGCGGCCCTCCGCGCCCTGGGGCGGCGAGACGCCGTCGCGGCGCGAAAGGCAGAAGGGCGGGCAGGCTCGAGGGCTCCGGCCGTGCGCCTGCGCCTGCCGATGCTGGGTGTGTGCCCTCCTGCCCTGGGGCGAGGAGGGGGTGTGCCTCGATCCTGGGCCCATGGTGAGACTGGCCAGGATCGGTGCACGTGCGGGTGCACCCTGGCATCCGAGGTGGCGAGAAAGGTGCACCAGCAGGAGAGAACGCGACCGGCGCGCCAGGCCCGGTTTGTCGGTCGCATTCTCCGAGCAGGATCAACTTGTGATGGCCCCGGCGCCCGGAAAATGTCCACAGTGAGAACCTCTGCAATGCCCAGATCTGAGGGTTCGGGCTTCCTCCCCAGGCTCCCGACGTCGCGAATTTTTCTCAACGTGGACCCCCGCAGGGGTCTGGACCCATTCTCTGGGACCAGTGCCCCAGATGCCGAACATGGCCAAGAGCTGCCCGTCGGGATGGTGCTCACGACGCCAGGGGGTCTGGGCCCTAGCATTAAGTCGGGCTTGTCCCTCTACAGGAGGAGTATCCCATAAAAGTTACAATATAGTCTGGGGATGTTTTTGTTGCACTACCTTTGCATATTTTTAGGGGTATTTGGGGGGTATCTTATATTTTTCCCCTCCAAAATCCCCCTGCAGGCGGACAGGCCCGACCTAACCCTGGCAGGGGGAGGAGCTGGCGGAGCAGGCTCGGGGCGCGGAGCGTGACCCGCGCGTGACTTCCTGGGGCGACGACGCCGCCGCCGGCCCGGAGCACCCCGACGCCGAGGCAGCCGGGCCCGCCTCGGCGGGGCCGCCCGCGTGCGCCAATTGCGCGGGCGCCGTGCGCGACGGCGCCTTCGGGTCGGCGTGCAGCCACGCCCTCTGCAGCAGGTTCCCCCCTCCCCACGACGAGGAGGAGGAGGAGGAGGAGGAGGAGGAAGAGGAGGAGGAGGAGGAGGGCCGAGGTGTGCCTCAGCTCCCCCCGGGGGCTGGGGCCCAGGCTCTCGACACCTGCGCCCCCGCACAGCGCCAGCGCGTACGGGCGCCACCGGCTCCTCGCCTCTTCCTCTCCTCCCCCCGAGGTGCAGCCGATCCGTCGGTTGCTTATCTCGTTTGTCTCTTAGTTTTTGTTCGCCCTCCCCACGCAGATGGCGGGGGGAGGGCTCGAGGGCATTGGCGCTTCGACGCGTACTTGTCCGCAGTACTGAGTCCTGCCTGAGGAGGAGGAGGGGGAGGGGGGGGAGGGGGAGGAGGAGGAGGGGGAGGAGGAGGAGGAGGAGGAGGAGGAGGAGGAGGAGGAGGAGGAGGAGGAGGAGGAGGAGGAGAGAGGAGGAGGACGAGAGAGACGAGGAGGAGGGAGGAGGAGAGGAGGAGAGAGAGGAGAGAGAGACGAGGAGGAGGACGAGAGAGACGAGGGAGGAGGAGGAGGAGGAGGGAGGAGGAGGAGGAGGAGGAGGAGGAGGAGGAGGAGAGGAGGAGGAGGGGGAGGGGAGGAGGGGAGAGAGAGACGAGGAGGAGGAGGAGAAGGAGGAGGAGGAGGAGGACGAGGAGGAGGACGCCAACCAACGTAAACCCAAGACGCATCCGCGCTATTGCAATACAGCCTCCCTCCAAGTTCCGCTTTTCATAGGTCCCTCAAAGGGTGTATTCTCAGTGCAGGAAGTGGCCCATTGGAAGAAAACGGTTTGGGAATTTTCAATCGGACTTCAGCGCACCAGATCAATGTGACTGTTGCGTCCTGACAATTCGAGATCGTGCCAGAGCGCCGCCCCTTGGGCGTCAACTCCGCGAGCCTCCGTGACTGTTGGATCCTGAATCCTGACAATCCTAAATCGTACCAAAACGTACTTTCTCAAACACTTCTGCACACTTGTACAACGGATGTGTGCGGCGCTGATGCGAGGAACACATGTGCTGATGTGTGAAAATGCTGCACACTTTGAAGGCGAATGTGCGCGGTGCTACGGCCAGAGCCACATTTTGAAAAACACCCGCACCACGTCCGTGCAATTGTTGCAAACGTTTTGGACGAGTGCGCGCGGCGTTAAGGCGAGAGCCGCATGTTGAAAACCACCCGCTCTCCATCTCTGAAACAGCTGGCAAGTTGTAATACGAATATGCGCGGCGATACGGCGAGAGCCTGATTTGGAAAACGACCCGCCCTTCGTCCGTGAAACTGCTGAGATCTTTTGCGACGGACGAGCGCGGCGCTATGGCGAGAGCCACATGTTGAGGCCGGCCCGCTCTCCATCCGAGAAGTTGTAGCACATTGCAAGCTTCAGGGTCGTGAATGTGCGAGGATTTCTCAGGCGAGACGCCCAGCCGTATGGAGGAGGAGGAGGAGGAGGAGGAGGAGGAGGAGGAGGAGGAGGAGGAGGTGGAGCAGGAGGACGAGGAGGAGGTGGAGCAGGAGGAGGCAGAGGGGGAGGAGGAAAGATTTGGACCCTCTCCTAGGACAGAGGAACTTCCAATGGCATAGACACAATTTCTTTGAGCTCAGCGCGGATTTCTTGGATCGGCGCTGGGGCCCCCCTGGCAGCACTTCCAGCGCCGCCTCTGGCGCGCTCCGCGTGCCAGGGAGGGGGGCCCAGCGCCGACCCAGGAAATCCGCGCGGAGCTCCGACATTTTTATGTTTATGCAGTTTGTCGTTCCTCCAGAAGCAGCGAGAGCATTGGATTAGGATCCATTGGAAAAGGAATCTAGGGTCTGGAAGCTGGTGGAACTCCAGTCGTGGGTTGCAAATAGATATCCCGCCTCCTTTCTCAGATAAGGGATCCTCCAGTCCCTTCACCAACGCCTTCACCGAAGTCCATACACTCCTCGCGTCGTGCGACAAAACACGACAGAATGTTTGGCAGGTTTGGGCCTCTGCAGGGGGCCCTCGCTGGGCCCCGCGGGACTCTCAAACATCAGTTCCAGGAAAGACACCAGCCCTGGGGAACGGTCTGGGACGTCAGGAGACCCCATATGGAACAACCATCGAGATCGCGGGTATGCCGATACGGTGTCGGCATCCCCGCTGCTCGTCGTACGGCTTGATTCTCCTCGGAAGTTTGGTCAGCACGCACATCGCGATGGGCCGGGTGAGCACCAGCATCGGTATTTCTCCGCCTCCCCAGGTCAGGGTAAAGTTTTGCCCTCGAAGGTCGAGGGGAGGTTTTCGGACGCTGTTAGATTTTTTTGTTCTAGTATGCAGCTCCTGGAAGGTTTAGTCGAGCATCGGCGCTGGTATATCTGTGGTAGGAAAACGGCTCAATCTTTGTTAACCCCACCTAATTCCACGCAGTACCGCGCAATTTGGCTTATATCGTGGGCTGAATCGAGCCTCGTCTGGCCGAGTGCCCCCCCCCCCCCCGAATCGTGCTTACCGGCCCCGAGTCTGTCCGCGATGACCTCCCAGGAGCTGCTTCCTAACCCGTCAGGCCTCCGGCGGCCTCGGGGAACCTCCAGGGGCCTCCGGGGGTCAGGATCCGGGGGCGGGAGCACAGCTCGCCAGGTGCCTGGCCGCCGTGGTGAAGGTGCAGGCGGCGTGTGGCGCGCCGCACCGCTGCCCCGTGCCAGGGTGCCCGGAGCCGCTGGCGGAGGGCGCCCAGGAGTCGGGTCCGCGCGCGTAGCTTCAGGTCGGGCACGTCCCTCTGCGATTTTTGCATTGTTTTTTGATCATCTGGGGGCATCTTCTTGGATTATGTTTCATTTTTCGTCCAAAATCCGCCTGTAGGGGGACATGCCCGACCTAAGCGTAGCTGATGATGGAGGGGCGGGTCCCCCGATCGCTAAGTCGCGCGAGGCGACGGCAACAGCCTGCGCGCTCGGGGTTGGCCTCCCGGCGCTCCGCCTGAAGTCGGAGGAATGCGAGGCGACACCACCACCTCTAGCGAGGGGGTCCACGATGCCTCCCCGAGCTGGGGATGGGGGATATCTCGGGCGGGGGGGTCCACACCACCAGCAGGACACTCCCTGGCTCCTCGCGCTGGTGGTGATGGTGTCGCCTTCCCTTGCCCCTACGAGGCCCTGCACAAGAGGCGACGCAGCGGCCTGCGCGCTTGGGGCTGGCCCCCGAAGCCCCAGCGCGCACCAGAGGTCCCTCTTGCCCACAGAGCCACCCCCCAGACAGCCGACGTCTTGAGTGTTTTGACGCGGGGCCCGCGGAAGTGCCGACCTCCCGCAGGCCCGGTTTGCGCAGCCCCGGCCGGTTCTGCGGACGGCCCCGGGGGCCCGCCGAGGGCCCCCGGAGGAAGACGACGGCCAGAAGCACCCCGTGGTGTTTTGTCTTGTTCGTTGCCGTGTTCCAGGGCGCGAGGTTGTCTGGGGCCGCGCGCGCAGCCGCAGGAGGCGGCCAGCGCTCCGGAGCTGTGGGCGGCCGTGGTCCGGCAGGTTCGCGGCACGCCCTTCGAGCAGGCCGTCGTCTACTGCCCGCGCTGCGAGGACCGCGGCATGGACATCCCGGTGCTGGTGCCCTCGGCGGGCGCGGGGGGCGCGTCCTCGCACCGCTGCCAGTGCTTCCAGTGCTCCTGGCAGTTCTGCGAGATCTGCCGCTCTCCGTGGCACCCCGGCTCGTCCTGCTTCGACGACGAGAGCAGGGTCGTACGCATGGCGAGGCGCCGGCCGCCGCTGACGGAGGAGCTCGCGGAGGCGGCCGCCAAGGTCGTCGAGGAGGCGCGGAGCAGGGAGGAGCAGAAGGCGCGCGAGTTGGAAGAGATGCTCAGGCGCGGGGGTCAGCGCGCGAACTTCGAGGCATTCCGCCGCATCTTCGCCAGTGCCCACACGGAGCACGTCACGCGGAGCCTGCTCAGCGTGTTCGGAAACGGCGTCACGCTGAGGCCGGCCCCCGTTGCTCCCACCGTGCAAAGACAGTTCATGCAAGCCATGGTGGAGAAGCCAGAGGCGGAGGTGCGCCCTGCGTTCCACGGCACAGACGTGCGGAACTACGCCTCCATCTTCGAACGGGGGCTCCTGGTGCCTGGGGATGCGAGCGATATCAAGGTCGTCCACGGCCAGGCCCATGGCCAGGGCATCTACACCGCCAACGTCGACGCGGCATGGCTGTCGAAGGGCTTCTGCACCGCTCCGAGCATGCTGGTGTGCGCCGTACTGCAGTCCGAGTCGCACGTACGCCACGTCGGCGACGCCATGGTCGTGGCGAGGTCCGACCACGTCGTGCCGCTCTTAGCCGCCCTGGAATGCCCCTGTTGAGACGCAACACGGCAACACGTACCGGGTGCAAAGCGTCCGTTCTGACATGTTGCGTGTTGGTTTGGCACGTGTTGGCCCACGTTCCGGCAAATTTATCGCGCAGACCGGAAACGTAGACAATCTACGCTTTCAGTCCGCGTGTTGAGCTCCGTGTCAACACGCTACGTGTTGCCCATCGGGGCAGCTAAGGTGCCGCTATTCGAGGGCTTCGGCGGCTCGTTCGCCGCCCCGACGCCCCAAGCCCGTCCGACGCTCCCCGGGCAGAGGCCGACGCCGGCGGGCGGCGGGGCGAAGCCGTCGGGCGGCGCCACGGCTCCGGGGCCTGCGAGGGTTCCGGGCAAGCCCGGCAAGACCGAAGCGCCGAGCAAGGACAGGAAGGCCAAGTTCGTGGCCCGCCTCGCGAGCAGGTCACAGCGGCACTGAGTCAGGCGCTCCCGCCGGCTCTCCTCCTGCTCCAGAGGCCTCGTGCTGGCACCCTCTCCGCCCACCGCTTCGCCGCCCGCGTGGGCTTGTTCGAAGCAGACACATCAACTCTCGGAGGCCTGCGCGGATCTCTTGGATCGGAGCTGGACCTCCCTGGCGGCGCCTCCAGCGCCGCCGCTGGCGCGCTCCGTGCGCCAGGGATGGGGTCCATCGCCAATCCAAAAAACAATGCCGCATTCCTGGAACGGCCGCGGCACGGTGCGTGGCGTCTCCGCGCACTTCTCTGTAGCATCATAGTCACAGAGATTCTGCGCGCCACGGAGTTAGTGTGTGAGTGAGTGATCGCCGATCCAAGAAATCCGCGCGGAGTCTTCCTGTGCTGCGCCTGTACATGGGCGCTGCAGCTGAGCGACTCGACGCCAGCGTCGCCGTGTGTACAGATTCCACTGCCGAGGCCGGTGTCGGGAGAAACCAATGCGTCACACCAGATTTGTCTGCAGTGTGGGAGGCATGGGTGTACAGTCAAGACGCTGACATCAGGACCGCTTTGGGTTCGGAAGGGGGCCGTCGTTCTTTCTAGCCCTCCTCGTGCACCCAGGCTCTTGTAGTGCCAGAGAGACACTCCGTTTCTTGTGCAGCGTTCCTCATTTCAGCAACCAGACTGTACACAGGCCCGGATGGTACCAGGGGAGGCGTGCCAGAGAAGACGTTGGCGCCTCAGACGGCGACATCAACCACTCAACCTACCACCCGTTGGGCTCCACCACCACCCTCCCCCTCACCACCCTCCACTTCCCCCTTCCCCCTCCACGCACATTCACTTCACCAGTGGGAGTGAGTGGGGGAGGGGGCGGAGAGAGGAGTGTTGATTGGGGAGGAGCGGGGCGAGAGGGGAGATGGGTGAGACCATGGTGCACGAGGGCTTGCTGTCCCACACGGGGTGTCATTTTGTGGGGCATCTGTTAGATGTCGACAGCGCTCACGTCGCCATTGCATCGTTCTGTGCAGAGCCCACCAAAGGTTTGAATTTCATACTAATGCCACAAACGTATCGCACCATGATTTGGCCGTGATTTCATCAAGACGCTAGCTCGCGCAGGGGATTCCGGGCCGCACGACGTGACGGCGTATGCCAGTCATTCTGGTCAACGGTAAACTTGCGTGGTTCAGCGCTGCACAGGATGACGCTTCTGGTCTTTCATGCCACGATGTTGCGCTTTCGTCAGCACTGCGACTGATGTTCCTGGTCTGTCAGTCATTGAATCAGTTTGTGCTTCAAGGTAGTCCAGATCACGATGCCCAGTACAGATCACCCACGATGCCCAGGTGCCGTAGGTCTTAGGTGGCCCATCTGACCCGGTGGCCGAGCTGACCCAGCTGGCACAGATGGCCAAGTTGGCCCACTTGCCCAGGAGACGGCCGAGGTGGCAAGTGCTTCCGCGGTGGCCAGGTTGGCCTACAATTGTGTCGTGACATCTACTACTGTCAACGTAACCCAGGTGACCTAGATTTCCTAGCTGGCCAAACATGATGTCCTGGCTTGGCCCGTCGTTCCTATCACGTTTGCCTCCAGACCGCTTCCGTTGCCAACCTTTGGATCAAGAGGCTAGTCGTGCCTCCCACGAGTCTGCCGACGTCGTCGGACCGTCAAGATCGTATTTGCGTTGGTCCGAGCCGAGCGGGGCTGAGCCATGCATGCCGCCACTCACGCGACACGTGCCTGGGGCCATGGTGGCGTCGGCGCTGCTACTGGCCTTGGCGCTGAAGGCGACTATCCCCGGCGGCGAGGAGACCTCCCCCTGACGACATCGCGAAGCTCATCACGCAACATCAGCACATAGGCCACCAGATCCATCGGCTCGACCTCACTGACCTGGCCCCGTTTGCCCGGCGCGACGCCGCCCAGGCAAACCGTCCAGGCGGACGCTCGCAAGGCGACCGCCTGGCCGCCATCGCGGCGACGAAGGCCACGGATGGCGAGACGGCCGAGTTCACCCCGCTCGATTGGGGGCCCCGCAATCAACGACGAGTGGCCCGTTCGAGTCTGGCAACTGAAGTTCGAGAAGCTGGCGAGTTGGCGACGCGGAAGGGGAGTAACGCATGGCGGTCCCCGTCTTCTTCGAGTTCTTCCACATCATGTCGCCCCTCCGCGACCGCGCGGAGACAGCGGGAGGCGCCGGCCGTGTTCGCGACGGACTGCAATGTCTTCTGCGACGGCGCGGTGCGATCTCAGTCGGCTGGATTCGGCCTCGAGGAAGCATGCGCGGCCATCGAAGCACCGGCCCCGCGCGACGACCTCGACGAGGGCAAGACTGTGGTCCTGCGGGTCCACTCGCGCGCGCAGGTTGCCGACGGGCTCACCAACGCTAGCTGGCAGGCGTCTGGCGCGATCAAACTGTTTTGGGGGAAGCAGAAGTGGCGACTGAATCGCGACCAACATGAGCGCCCGCAGGCAGGCCGCCCTCGGCAAGGACACGTCCGACGAGACGGGGCCAGGAGACCACGCGGCAGCGAAAGAGGTCATCGAGCAGCTGCGCCTGCACCAGATCGCTGGAGAGAGCGAGATCGGTCCACCCCCCTCGAGCACAAGAACCCTTAGTGAGCCTCGAGAGGAGATTGCCAACTACCAGTTCATGATCCAGTAGCTGCGAGACGAGATCGATTCGCACGAGGCAAGCATCCTCGATCTCATCGGTGAGGGCGCTGGACACACATCATCTGTTCCCATCGACTATGCGATCGCCGGCACGATATTTCTTTGCTTCGTGACTGAATGTCGTGCAGCAGGAGAGGGTCAGGTATCGCCCCTCCCTCCTTTCAGTCTGCCGTGCCCATCGCCCATCCCGGCTCGAGGCGTGAGAGGGCCAGATCTCTTCCTCGCGGAGAGAGCGCCTGCAGGCTGCATGCAGGCCGCGATATTTGGTTCCAGGTGTCTTCTTTCATCACTGAGTGTGAGAATCGTGATTATCATTTCAGATTCAGATTCTTCTTATCCCACACAACGTCTGAAGGTATCACCAGCGCGATCCCTACTCCGTGATAGATCTCTGTGGGTTCAGAACCCCCCAAGGGACGACCGCTCCTTGGGGGGGGGGCAGGTGCGTTCGACCGAGCACCGATGCCGACAGCCCGAAGTGGAGGAGGAGGAGGAGGAGGGAGAGGAGGAGGAGGAGGAGGAGGAGGAGGAGGAGGAGGAGGAGGGTATGTCCTCCTGCTCTCAGCCCCTCAGCGTGGAGTCCTCTGCTCGCACCGCCCCGGCGGGCCTAGGACTTCCCCGCCCTGTGCGACGCCCTGGGCGTCGTACCGCACCCGTCGTTCCAGCGGCCAAACGCCCCTCGGCAGGACCAGGCCTCGTGTTTTGCGCGGGGGGGGGACCGTAGGGCACATCGCGTGTATCATCAGACCCGCCCCTCTTTTACGTTATCCGGTTATTCTATATGTTGTCGACGTTGCACATCGAGAACACATGTTGCAATCGCGCGAACGAATGACCGCACGGGGGGGGAGCAACGGGCGACTTCGAGGCAGGGCGCCACCTCGTCCTGCGACGGGGGGGCGGGGGCGGGCCGTCAGGGCGGCGGCTGGGTGTGAGCTCGGCTCGGAAGGTCAGGGAGGGGTCTGTGAGAGCGCGCGAGAGAGAGAGAGAACAACAAAAAGAGAAAGAGAGCAAGAAAGAGGAGAGAGAGAGAGAGAGAGACAAAACAAAAGAGACAGACAGAGAAGGAGAGAGAAGGGGGAGGGAGAGCGGGAGCGAAAGGGAGAGAGAAAGAGAAAGAGAGAGAGAAAGACAAAATACGAAGGAGATGTAGTGTGAGAGAGACAGAGAGGGAGAGAGAGAGAGATAAAGAGAGAGAGAGAGAGAGAACAAACAACAACAAAAACAAGCAGAGAAGGCCGAGTGGAGACTTAGAGATGTCGGAGAGGACGGGGAGGACGGATGAGGCATATAGAGGGAAACGGAGAGCATACGGAGAAGGCACAATATTAGAGAGGGGGAAAGAGAAAGAAGAGAGAGGGAGAGAGAGAGAGTTCTGGCGAACGCGAGAGCGAGAGACATGATGTCCTGACGCATCTGTCCGACATATGAGGGCCTTGCCGTTCGCCGCCCACTCATTGCAGTTTTCAAGCGAGGGACCGAGTCTCCCAGGCTTGCTGGCACTGCGGGCCGTGCCGAGCCCGGGCCGGGTGCTACACGGAAACAGGTGCAGGATGAGGGACCGGGTGGAGGCTGCGTGCGGGATGATAGCAGCCGTAGGAGCCAGCTGGTTTTTGGTCTCGTCTTTGGCGTGGGCGTTCTGATGATGACGGGGGCGAATCCGAGGAGGGCGAGAAGGACGAAGGGAAAGGAAGGGATATAAGGAATCCTTGAGGAGGGCCAGGAGGAGGAGGAGGAGGAGGAGGAGGAAGAGGGGGAGGAGGAGGAGGAGGAGGAGGAGGAGGAGGAGGAGGAGGAGGAGGAAAAAGGAGGAGGAGGAGGATGAAAAGGAGGAGGAGGAGGAGGAACTGGAGGAGGACGAGGAGGAGGAGGAGAAGGATGAGGAGGAGGAGAAGATGACGACCCGGAAAAGGTGGAGGAGGACGAGGAAGTGGAGGATGAGGAAAAAGGAGGAGGAGAAGGAGGAGGAGGAAGAAAAGGCAAATGACGATGGGGGGAGGAGAAGGAGACGGCGGAGGAGGCAGAAACAATAGGAGGAACAGGAGGAAGGAAATAGAGGAGGAGGAGGAGAAAGAGGAGGAGGAGGAGGAAGAGGAGGAGGAAGAGGAGGAGGAAGAGGAGGAGGAGGAGGAGCAGGAGGAGGAGGGGCAGGGGGAGCAGGAGGAACAGTGAGAGTAACGTGAGGGGAATGAGAAGTTTGGACGGCCTCCGCCAGGCCAGTGGGAGCGTGGTGACGGCGGTGAACACCGAACCACTCCCCGCGCCCATGCTGCTGGCGAGGTCGGCGCCTCCCCTCATCCTCATATGTTCCCTCGTACGCTCCGTGTTCCCTCCGCTCTTCCTCCTCCTCCCTCCTCCCCCATCAGCTGCTGTCCCAATCCGAGGCTCAGGGTGCCGATGCCAGGTATCGGCGGCTTCGCGCAGACAGCGGCCACGCGCGCCGCCCGCGGCCGCGCGCGATCGGCGCCAGGCGCCCGCCGCGCCGCGCCAGCTGCGGCTCCTGCCGACAGCCGCCGCGGCGCCAGGCGGCCGCGCCGCCGCCTGCCCCGCCTGCCGGGCGGGGCTCGCGCGCGCGAGTGCACGCACCGTGCTCGGGGTAGCCGCCGCTGCACGGAGGCTGCAGGAGCTGCCGGCCGAGATGCAGGGCGCTGCCGGAGGCTGCCGAGTGCCCGGGGAAGGCGGCGGCGGTGGCAAGAGCGGCCCCGGGGGCGGCAACGGCCTGCGTGGCGCCGGCAGCAGCAGCGGCAAGGGGCAAGGGAGGCCCGCTGCCGTGGCAGATACAGCCACCCAGCCCCCCTCCGCCGCCGCCGTGCTGGTGGTGCCCGCAGTGTGGCATGGCCAACCCGTCCAACGCGATGCTGTGCGGCACGCGCATGCCGATGCCAGCAGGACCAAGCCACTGCAACCGGGGTATTAGTAAACGGGGTGGTAGCTAAGGGGCTTCTTCAATTTTTCAAAAGCACAATTGAAAATGCACCCTTAGCTACCACCCCGTTTACAAATACCCCTTTAGCAGGGGCTGGGGCAGGAGGACATGACGTCCCTCAGTCAGGCATGCCGCTACAACATGACGACGCTGGTCAACACAGGTCGCAGGGACGAGACAGGTCGCAGTCCAGCGCGCGATGTCACAGGTCGCAGTCGAGAGTAAGATTTGATGAGCTTCCTTAGCGCGGAGATGATGGGCCAGAAAGGGCATGACGCACCAGGCCAGCGTGGCATCTTGCCAGCCTTGCCTCGTGCTCACCCGTCGCCAAGACCCCGGTTTGACCCACGTGGGCTCCCAGCCCTCCGCAGATCATTGCGACAGATTGCAGCAGCGACGGGCACCAGACAGCAGGCCGCCAGGGAGTTCGGCATCACCCAGGAGCAGCCCACCGCCAAGGAGGAGGAGAAACACGCGGCCCTGTTGTATATGATCACGACAGCTCGCAGTCCAGGTGACAGCTGCGACCGCCAACGCGCATCTGTCCAGAAAGCCGAGGCCAAGCTCGAGCGCGCGATCGACGTCGATAACAAGTCACGCGAGGCGTTCGATGAGGCCGAGACCAAGCATGCTCAGCTTGAAGCTGAGGTTGCCAGGGCCAAGGCACTGTTGAAACCGCTCGAGGAGATCGCCCCCGCGACTAAGGAGGCTCCGCGGAGGACGACGAGCAGGCGGGGGCGCCTGTGGCCGCCACCCCGCTTGACGCGGCGACCTTTGCGGCCGTGGTCGCGGAGCTGCAGGCTGGCCAACATGCCGCGGCCGCGCAGAGCTCGCGACCGTTTCAAGCGGAGGCGGCGGTCGCTGCCGCGCCCGCTGCGGCCCGAGGCCACGCGGCGGCTGCGCCCGAGGCGGCTGCGGCGGCCGACGTCCCGCGCGCCGCTCCGCCGCCGCTGGCTGCGCCGCCCGACGCCGGCGCCGATCCGCCCACTCCTGGCTGCCGCGGCCTGGGGCCCGCGCAAAGTGCGAGGCGCGGCGCCCGCCCGCCGACGCGGCGCAGCTGGCGCCAGCCAGCAGGGGACCAGAATACCCGCGTGCGCACGCCGCTGAAGCTCGAGCTGCTGCAGCGCGCGAGCGCCGCGGACGAGCCGCCACTGCGCGCGCGTAGCGACCAGCTAGACAACAAAGGCTGCAGGCTGCGATGCAGAGACAGCAGGAGGCGGCGTCGCACCGCGGCCGAGGCGCCGTCGCCCCTCCCGGGCCAGCGGACCGTCCCCGAGCGCCGCCGACACATGGTCGGGCATGCCCAGAGGCGGCGGCCGGCGCGCAGTCTTCGACTGGGCGCGGGCGCCCGAGCATCCCAGAGCCCGCGCCGATGGAAATGCCGAGGATGATGATGATGATGATGATGATGATGATGATGATGATGATGATGATGATGATGATGATGATGATGATGATGATGATGATGATGATGATGATGATGATGATGATGATGATGATGATGATGATGATGATGATGATGATGATGATGATGATGATGATGATGATGATGATGATGATGATGCTGATGATGATGATGATGATGATGATGATGATGATGATGATGATGATGATGATGATGATGATGATGATGATGATGATGATGATGATGATGATGTTGATGATGATGATGATGATGATGATGATGATGATGATGATGATGATGATGATGATGATGATATGCCGTCGCAGTGGCGACTGCGCAGTCGAGGCGAGCTGCCGAGCGGGAGGCGACGCTGAGCGAGCTGAGCGCGCCGTCTGCCCTGTCCCCATCAGGGCGTTCAGCGGGTGGCATCCGCCCGCGCTGCCCGTTCCCCGACTGAAAAGGCCCCATTCGTCGCATTTAAAAATTCTTGGGGTCGCAGCTCTTCGCTTGCCCGACTCTTCCCTGGGCCCCCCAATTTGCCCCGGTCTTGTCTCGTGGGGCCTCACCTCCACGGAGGCGCCCAGCGTTTTCGAGACGCATGGAGGCCCCCCCCGCGCCCCCCGACGCGGGAGCTGAGCGGTTGGAAATCTACGCGGGCGGATCTGGGGTCGCAGGGCATGGGCGGGGTTCGCGGACCCGCCGGCAGCGTGGACGCGCCTGGGTGGTTCATCTCGACGAAGAATCGCGCCGTCGAGGGCCAGGCCGACCTAGGCAGGGACAAGACGAAGAAGGAAGGGGCAACGCCAAGGGCAAGGACAGGGGAGAGGGGCAGCTCGTCAATCGCATGGCGCGCCTCGTGCTCAGCAACGCCCGCGAGGTCGCGGACCTCTCGGCGGTGGTCTACGCCCGTTTCAGCGCCCTCGCGGCCGCGGGCGCAGCGGTGGCCGCGGTCGCGGGCGGCAAGGCATGCGAGGAGGTGTCCAAGCAGATGATGGCCGAGGCGGTCGAGTGGACGTCTCGAGGCCCACCCTTCCTGCACATCGTCATGGCGCCGCGCGCGTGCGTAGCCGACAAGGAGACGAAGGTGAATGACGCGCATCCCCGCGACCAGGAGCAGGATATGATATCGCAGCAGATGC